TCTAGGGTGCTGCAGAAAGGAGGGTCCTCTCTACACCAAGACACCCCCTGGAAGTTTGAGGTGGGTCCTCAGGGCTCAGCCGTGGGAGTCTGCACAGCAAGACACTGGAAGGCCCCCGACTGCCCAGGGTGATGGTCCCATGGATGGCACAGGCACTCCCCAGTGACCCTGGTGGGGTGGCGGCGGGCAGCCTTTGTTCCTTCTCCACCACCTCCCCTGGGGACTGGGAGAGCAGTTGAGGCCAGGCTGCTGATTGGAGGGAGGGGCAGCCAGGCAGGGGAGGCCCCACCCAGAGGTCACTTCAAGGAGAGATGGGTTAGAAAGACAGGTGCGAGACCTGGGGTCTGTGCAGCCTCTTTGCAGCCTTTGTTTTTTTAAAAAATATTTTTCTTATTTATTTATTTATTTTTGGCTGCATTGGGTCTTCACCGCAGCACACTGGCTTTCTCTAGTTACGGCAAGCGGGGGCTACTCTTCATTGCAGTGCGTGTGTTTCTCATTGCGGTGGCTTCTCTTGTTGCAGAGCATGGGCTCTAGGCATGCGGGTTTCAGTAGTTGTGGCACGCAGGCTCAGTAGTTGTGGCACAGGGGCTTAGTTGCTCCACGGCATGTGGGATCTTCCTGGACCAGGGCTCTAACCCGTGTCCCCTGCATTGGCAGGCAGACTCTTAACCACTGCGCCACCAGGGAAGTCCTCTGTGCAGCCTTTGGCGTTCACATAGATGGAACACAGGATAAGGGAAGACACACATTCCCAGCTTACTGTGTGCTTGCACTCCTCCCATGCCAGAGGTCCCCACTGACCTACCCTCACAACGCCTGGCAGAAATGTCACAGGCAAGGAAATGATGTCTGTAGAAGCAAAGTGACTTGTCCAAGATCACACAGCTGGTAACTGCCAGAGTTGTGATCTGAACCTATATAGTCCGGGTTCTAGGGGCTCTGGGCTTAACCACAACACCAGACCACCCTGCCACTCCACTGGGTGGGGTTAAAAGCACATGCTTTGGACACAGAGGAACGTGGGCTCAAATAGACAAGGACACTTCCTAGCTGTGTGTCCTTGAGCAGTTCAATCCATGAATGGCTGCTGAGCACTTAGCATGTGCTGGGGGAGGACGTGCAGTGGGACGAAGACGACGAAAGGATGTGCTCTGGGTGAAGCTTGTGCTGGGCAGTGGGATGAAAACCCAAGTAGATGGAGGGTATTCACAGAAAAACCAGGCGGCCAGAGCACGGGTGGTCCTCTCTGTGCTAGGGGTGCACCCAGAGAGGGGCACACTCCCAGCTTGGGGTGGGGTCAGGATGACTCCCTGGAGGAGGTGACAGTGTTTTGAAGGATGAGTAAGAGTCTGTCAAGGGAAGATAGAGCAGAAAGAAAGGCAATCCAGGCTTAGGGCACGGCGTGTAGGAGAAGTGAGAGAGATGCGGGTAGCTGGGATGTGACGCTCACGATGGGGACAAAGTCTGAGATGTGCTCCATGTGTGGGAGGGCGGCGGGTGTCCTGAAGAGGCATGGATGCTAAGCAGAGAACTCTGGATTTTATCCTGAGCAGAGGGCTGACATGGTCAGATTAGCATTTTAGAAAGATCAGAGTAGAGAGTGGGTGGGGTGGGCAAGGAACAGGCAAGAGCGGAGACACGCAGGCCAGTGAGATGGGGAGGGGCTAGTGATGGTTTCAGAAGTTGTGTCAGAGCCTAGAGTGGTGACCAGACTCAAGTGTGACTGCCAATATGGGGATGAGGGGAAGTCGAGGCAGGTCCTGCGTTTCTGGCTTGGTGGGTTTGTTGTGCCACCACCTTGAATAGGAAACCCGAGGGAGAAGCGAGTTTGGGGGAGGGGCGGCGATAAGTTCAGCGGGGAGCTGTGGGGGACCCGAGGGGCGCTATGGTGGTTGCCAGCCCAACGGCCATCCCTGCTCTGGCTAACCCAACTTCTGGAGCACTGTGGAAGTGAAATGCCTGGTCTTTGGGGATGAATCATGCTAACCTCCTCTTGCCAGTGATGTTCTAGGAGTGGGCGTGCATCCCAGTTTGGGCGCTCCCAAAAGCAGACCTTGAGACAGGATTTGAAAGCACGTGGTTTATTTAGGAGAAAGGGGGAACACTGATGGGACCTAGTGACCAGAAATTGTTGGTGACCAGGACACATAGTTTGACTGCAGCGGGGGAATGCAGCCCAGCAAACCTTGGAAGAGGGAGAGGAGGGGAGAAATGGAAGAGATAAGTGTAGACACTGCTCTCAAGAAGCCTGGCAGTGAAAGCCAGCAGCTGGGTAGGGTGAGAGCTGGAGGGAAACACAGGCTCATGGAAACGGTTTGTATCCCCAGCCATGGTGGGGAGACCTGCATGCGCTTAACTGTGGATGGAGAACGCCAGCTGGGCAGGAGAGGCTCTAAGGATATGGGGGAGGCGAGAGCTACTGGAGAGCTAGGTGCCCAAAGCAGTGGGAGGGCTGGGCTCCCAGCACAGGTTGGAGGGACTGGCCTCGGACAGGAGGTGGGAACACCTTCCCCAGAGGCTGCGGGGAGGGATGTATGAGCACAAGGTGAAGTCTGTAAGGTGAAGGGGCTCCTGCTTTACTGTTTGCCTTTTTCCCTCCACAGGAAGGGATGGGGTCATCTGCAGGAGAGGTGGGGATGCACTGTCTCGGGGAGACTGGTGACCGCCTGGGATGGTGTCTGTGGAGAGTCACAGAGAGAGTCACCTGGGGAAACATGGAAAGGCTGGGTGGCAGAGCTGAGACCCTAGACGAGGCTGGAGACCATGAACAACGGGTGCTGGTGCTGACTACATGGTGACGGGACTCTGCCCAGCAGTGCCCAGAGGTCCAGACACCCAGCGGAGAGTGTGGCCAGAGGCGCTTGTCCAGCAGATGTCATGAAGGGAGGGCAGGATGACCCTGAGCCTGGAATCTCAGCCCAAGGGGGAAGATGGGGTGAGGAATATGTGAGGAGGGGTGGGGAGAACAGCAGGGAAAGGAGACTGGAGCTTCACTGGCGTGCAGGGAGAGAGGCAGTTGTTCCAGGGGTGGGACAGACACTTCACACATGAGGGATTCAGGGGGTAACAAGTGGATGCTGTCACAGCCCTGCCCACACCCTGTGACCTTCACCATTCCCAAGCTTCTGCTGCGACCCCTGGACACTGGGGCATTCACAGGCAGGTTGGAAATGCCTGGGAGAGGATGGCCTCGAGCGGCCGTCACCCAGGGGCAGCTGGCAGTGGTGGACAAACACGCTGCCTCCTCCTGCCTCACTGAAACACCATCTCCCAGAGGTGCCCTTAGGGGTGGAGCCTCGGTTGCCCATGGTGGTCAGCTGCTGGCTAACACCCTGAATCGGCTTCCTCTCACCCCCCTCTCCCTGCCCCCCTTCCCCACCTGTGCTTCCGGGGATCACCTCCCGGATAAACGCCTTGTCCTCAACTCCCTGCCACAGGGTCTTCTTGTGAAGCAACTCAACCCACCACAGTGGCTCAAACCCTCTGCACTTCAGCTTCCTCCTCTGCAAGATGGAGAGTCCGATATGTGCCTCTGAAACTGGGGGGACACAAGCACAGGTCTGGGAGGCTCAGCACCATGCCCAGTACTCAGCAGGCACTGGGTTAACACCCTTACTCATACACACAGTAGGTGTTTAATAAAAGCTCCGGTCCTCTCAGACGGCTGAGGACACAGAACCTCTCTGTTCCTGCCAATCAGGCCCCACCGGTAAGCCAATCCCTCAGGCCTGACCATTCCTGATGCTCTTGGCTGAACAACTTCCAGGTGGCCTCCCTCCCATGCTGGCAGCAAAGGGCTCCCTGGGGACCTCCTGACAAAAGGTTGGGCCAGAGGCAACACGTGGTCTGCAAGATGAACGTCTGAGCTCCTCAGATGTCAATAAAAATCCTCCTATGCACTGAGCCAGGCATTGGCTTGGGCTTCCCCTACATTATCTCATCTAATCCCCTCCACAAACTGCAGGCACTGCACTGCTCTCATGTCGTGGTCCAGGAGACTAGGCCTCAGAGAGGCCCCCGCAGCCCAGCAGTGAGGGGTAGAGCCTGGATTCAGCCCTTGTCTGTCAAGCCAGAGCCCAGGCTCCTCACTGGGAGGCAGGAACATGCCGTGTTCACCTCGGATGCCCTGTGCCTGGTGCAGGCTCTGCACAGAGAAGGAGCTTAGGAAATGAGCCTTGGGCCGGACTGAACCAAATAGGGCTCCTAGAGGAAATTGAAAGATCCTGTTTCCTGTTGGACACGGTGCCCCTGAGGCTGCGGCCCAGCTCCTAGCACAGGGCCTGGCACATAGTGATGTTCAAGCCAGGTTTGTGGATCAATAAAAAGGTGAATATTTCATATCCTTGGCCAGAATTTACACTGTGGCCCAGATCCATGACTGCGTTAGGAGTTATCCTATACGATTTTCCCATTCTGTTGTTCCTGCTGCATTCTTCCCTTCGCTCTCCCTCCGAGCTCATCTAAGCATGTCTGAGGGATGCTGTCCCACTCCCCCATCGTGGGGGATAGGGAAACCTAGAGCAAGTGCTCACTGTGTGCTTTAGTGTATGTTACCACATTTCATTTCCACAATAGCCCTAGAGGCAGGGCTGAATGGTACCTCTGGACAGATGACCTAGAGGAGTTGGATGACTTGTTCAAGGTCACCTGGCCAATTGGAGGCTGACCAGAGATGATCTCAGGTCTGCCTAGCCCCAAAACTCGTGCCCTTTCTCCACCACCAAATTCCCTTCCAGCCCTAAGTTGCTTCCCTTCCCCATCCAGTGTGGCCAGTGCAGACCTCCGAAGTGTCAACCTGGTGACACTAGATCCGTCACCTTAGGGTGGAGTGAAGGAAGCACCTGGGGATCAGCTTACTAATTCAAGGTGCTGATGAATTATTCACACCACCATTAACTTGGAGGCCCTTTCAGCCTCACCTCTCTTTCCCCTGCTCCAGACCCTCAGGTCCTGACCTGCCCCGAGCTCAGCAGACCTGCGGGGCCCCCAGAGAGAAGATGCTGGCAGAGCTGGAGTTCTGTCTGCTGCTGGCAGTGACACTGCTGAGCCCAGTCCCCGGGGCCCAAGCCATGGAAGGTAGGAGTTGCTGGGGACAGGCAGGAAACCTGGAGGGGGGCAGAGGGGTGGCAGGTAGCAGCAGGGTCTCAGGAGGTTTCCATGTGGAAGGCCAGAAAGCGGAAGGCCCTTTTGGGGTCAGTTGGCCGAGTTGAAGATGTATTGCTTCTGAGATGGGGAAAGACAATATTTATCAAGTGCCAACTACGTGCTGGGTGCTTTCCATGTATGAATGCATTTAATCTTCACAACCAACTTCAAAGTGGATATTAGTCCTCCTTTTTACAGATGAGGAAACTGAGGAAGAGGGAGGTTAAGTAAACCTGTCCAAGACTACATGTTTGCCAAGGACGAAGGGAAAGGCTCAGAGAACGATTAAAGATTTGTTGCTGGAATGACTCCTTATTTTCCTCCTGAGAGCCTGCTGTACTTTCCCATCGCCAGCCAAGTGAAATCAAAGTTCCTTATAAAGGCATTCAGTGCCTTCCCAGGTTTGGCTCCAATCTCTATATAACATCCAGCCTCGGTTCCCAGAGTCCCTCGGGCATCCCATACTCTAGCAGAGGATCACACCCCCTCCTGGAGATGCTTCACCCTCAGGGCTTTCACCCGCTGTGCCCTCTGCCTGGAAGGTTCCTTTTCTCTTTTTCTACCCGAGAACATCTGGCTCATCCATCAAGCTCAGGTCAAACACCACCTCCTCCAGGAAGACTTCCGCATCCCTTCATCAGCCTCAGAAACTCCCTCCTTGGGGATCTTAGAACCCTCTGCTGGCACCCTGGTCCCGGGTCGCTTTGTGCTGCTCCAGCCCTCTGAGCACTGTGTGCCTGTCTGGGAAGCCAGGGCAATATCACTTCACCCGTCTTCAAGGGGTGTGTGTGTGTAGCAGGGGCTCAGCCAGCGGTTGCCAGTACCTTGTCTTCCTCCAGGTTCAAGGGGGGCTCAGGAAGGAAACGTAACTTTCCAGTCACCTAGTTGGTGGCAGAGATGGCCTGGGCACCCAGGTGTCTCACCGCATGCCTGGGTGGTGGGAGAAGCTAACTGTTCCCATTTCTAGCCACTGGGGCTTCAGTGGCCTTGGGGTAACCCTGGAGTTCAGGGTGCCTGCCGGACAAGGCCTCTACTTGTGCTGGGACCCAGGGCCTCCTGGGCCACCAGGAGTTCTGCTCCAACCTTCTCACGGCTTTTCCTGTCCAGTGGGCAAGGCTGGAGGAAGGACAAGGACAGGCAATGAACAGGATGTCCCTCTGTTCTCTTGCCATAGAGGCATGAATCAGACCTGCTCCCACCCTGGCCTGCCCCCAGGGCCAGGCAGGGAGCCCTGATGTGAACTGGGTGTGCATCTTGTAGCCTCTGCACTGCTTTCTCTCATCTGTGTTCACAGCCGCCCAGCAAGGTCATTATCCCCATCTCACAGATGCGTGACTGAGGCTCAGGTAGGCTAAGTGATTGTGAGTCTGAGCCTTTATTCATGCCATTTCCTCCCTCCAAATCTTCCCCAACTCACAAAGCCTTCTTGCTCCTTCTAGCCAAACTCAAACATCAACTCCCCTGTGTCCCTCTCACAACAGTGCTGGCCCTGGCAAGACTGCCCCCCCTCCCTCTGGACCCCAGAGCCCGTGTGGCCCCAGCACAATCACGCCACATGGCTTTGTCTCATTTGCCTAACTCCCCCCATCTTACCCCACAACTGGGAACTCCCCAGGAAGGGGCCCATTATGAGTCAGCACAGGCCTATACAGGGCACATGCTTGGCAAATGTGTCTCTCTTACAGGAACTTTGGTTAAGTATATTCTTCAGGATGCTTCTGGTTGCAAGGGACAGAAACCTAATCTGGATGAGTTTAAGCAAGAAGAGAAATGCAGTGGCTGGTGCCAGGGAGGCGGAGTATAGCTGAGTTGGGCAGCTTGGGTTCTGGGCCATTTCCTCTTTTCACATGGTTCTTGCCATTTGCTGACAAGCTCTCTCAATGGGCCCTGAGTGGGGTCCACCCAGGGCTCTCACTCCCAGCTTAGGTACCAGGGAGGAAAGGCTTCTCATCCAGGCACTCAGCAGCAGGACTCTGGGGGCACAGGCGCACCCCACAGGCCAGTCGCTGTGGCAGTGCTGGGGGCCCCAGGATTGCCCAGCTAGGATCCTGTGTCCTCCTGTGGGCCTGGGAAAGACGAGGGAGGGTTACCACATGGAGGCAAGGAAAGGGAGCAGTGTCTAAAATTGAGGGCATGTTCTTGCAAGAGGTGAAGGAATGAGGGCTGGGTGGAACAAAACAGGAGATGTCAGCTACAGCAGTAACTTCCCTTTTTGGGCCTCAGTTTTCTCATCTGTTAAATGGAGTCAATAACACCTGGGCTGCCTATTTTATGGTGATATTGTGAGGATGATATAAGATTATTCACTGACTCATTCACTCAGCAAATATACACTGAGCACCTGCTTTGTACCAGGTGCTCTTCTAGATGCTTGGGAGATAGCAGAGAATAAAACAGACGAGAATCCCTGCTCTCATAGAGCCTACAGTTTTGTGGAGATAGACTTGGCAGTGAACCAAACAAATAAGGAAATAAATAGTACATTTGACAGTGATGGGTGCTATGGAGAAAATAAAGCAGAAAAGGGAAAGAAGGGGTACAGGGATGGGGAGAGGATTTCAGTTGTAAATATGATGGTTGGGGAAAGCCTCACTGAGAAGGTCATTTTTTTCAACTTTTAACTATGAAAATTTTCACACACAAAGTGGAGAAAATAATATAATAAATCCCAATGTCTCGATCAACCGACTTCAACAGTTATCAACATTCTGCCTTTCTTGGCTCTTCTATCCTACCCCTACCCCCATTTTAGGGGGTCAGATCAGAGAAACTTAAAGACAGTCTCAGATATCACACTATTTCACCCATAAATATTTCAGAGTATATCTAACAGATATATAGATAGATAGATATTCCCAATATTTTTATAATGATATAATAATTCTTTAATTTTATCTAATACTCAGTTCATGTTCAATTTTCCCCATTACAACAACAACAAAAAATCCCATTGCAATTTTTTTTTTCAAGTCAGAATCCAGACAAGGTCCACACATTGCTTTTGGTTGATATTTGACTCAAGTCTCCCTCCCTGTCTCTCTCTCTCTCTCTCTCAGTCTCTCTCTCTCTTTTTTAATCGACTTCTCCCCTGGCAACCACTTTTCTACTCTCTGTTTCTATGAGTTTGACGTTTTAGATTCCACATATAAGTGATACCATGCAGTATTCATCTTTCTCTGTCTGGCTTATTTCACTTAGCATAATGCCCTCAAGGTCTATCTATGTTGCTGCAAATAGCAGGATGTGTGCCTTTTTCAAGGCTGAATAATATTCCATGTCATATGTATCTCCATTCATCTGTTGATGGACACTTAGGTTGTTTCCATATCTCAGCTATTGTGAATAATTCTGCAGTGAAGATGGGAATGCAGATAACTCTTTGATACCCTGTTTCCATTTCCTTTGAAATATACCCAAAGTGGAATTGCTGGATCATATGGCGTTCTATTTTTAATTTTTTGAGAAGCCTCCATATTGTTTGTCATAGAGGCTGCACCAGTTTGCATTCCTACCAACTGTGCACAAAGGTTCCTTTTTCTCCACATCATTGCCAACACTTGTTACTCTCTTGTCTTTTACATAATAGCCATCCTAACAGATGGGAGGTGATATCTCATTGAGGTTTCGATTTGCATTTCCTTGATGATTAGTGATGTTGAACACCTTTTCATGTACCTGTTGGCCACCTGTATGCCTTCTTTGGAAAACTGCCTATTCAGTTTCTCTACTCATTTTATTTTTATTTTACATTTTTAAATTTATTTTATTTTATTTATTTATTATTTTTGGCTGCGTTGGGTCTTCGTTGCTGCACGGTCTTTCTCTAGTTGTGGCGAGTGGGGGCTACTCTTTGTTGCAGTGCACAGGCTTCTCTTGTTGCGGGGCATGGGCTCTAGGCATGCGGGCTTCAGTAGTTGCAGCACACGGGCTCAGTAGTTGTGGCTCACAGGCTCTAGAGCATAGTCTCAGTAGTTGTAGCGCATGGGATTAGTTGCTCTGCGGCATGTGGGATCTTCCCGGGCCAGGGCTCAAACCCATGTCCCCTGCATTGGCAGGCAGATTCTTAACCACTGTGCCACCAGAGAAGTCCTCTACTCATTTTTTTTTTAATGGTGAAGTGTTGAAAGCCTTCCTCTTTATATTTATTTATTTTTGGCTGTGTTGGGTCTTCTCTGCTGCGCATGGGCTTTTCTCTAGTTGCGGCGAGCGGGGGCTACTCTTCGTTGAGGTGCACGGGCTTCTCACTGCGGTGGCTTCTCTTGTTGTGGAGCAGGGGCTCTAGGTGCGCAGGCTTCAGTAGTTGTGGCTTGCAGGCTCAGTAGTTGTGGCTCGCGGGCGCTCTAGAGCACAGTCTCAGGAGTTGTGACACACCAGCTTAGATGCTCCATGGCATGTGGGATCTTCCTGGACCAGGGCTCGGAACCCATGTCCCCTGCATTGGCAGGCAGATTCTTAACCACTGCACCACCAGGGAAGTCGCTATTGATAGTTTCCTTTGCTGTGCAGAGCTTTTCATTCAATGTGGTCCCACTTGTTTATTTTTGCTTTTGTTGCCTTTGGTGTCAAATCCAAAAAATTATTGCCAAGACCAATGTCAAGGAGCTTTTACCTCCTATGTTTTCTTCTAGTTGAGTCTTTTTTAATATAACAGTTGTGTCTCCCCCCACCACCTTATTTACTGTTGAAGCACCTGGGTCATTAGAATTTCCCACATTCTGCACTTGACTGAATGTGTCCTCACGGTGTCATTTAGGTTGTTCCTCTAGCTTCCATATTCACTCTAACTTGCAGACAGATCCAGAGACTCCATTAGATTAAGGTTCCTTTTTTTCCCCCCAAGAAGATGTTACAGGTGTTTCATCAGGGCACCGATTATTCAGTGTTTCACTTGGACGTTGAGATTGTTCAGTGAGTTCAGGGGTTGTTAGCCTGATCCATCCATTATAAAGTTCCCTATAAAGGTAACTTTTTTGGCATTTTTTAATTATAAAAATTTTCAAACATTAGCAAAGGTGTAAGAATTTTACAGAAAATATTTACCTACTCAACCAACTAGGTTTTACCTCTCATCATTTACCTTTTTTCTCAGTGATTAGAACAGACAACGATAATGATGATTCCATTAAGGTTTGCAAAGTTTTGTTTTTCTAATGTTATTCTTTCCGTAGTCTTCTTTAAATAACAATTTTTCTTCATCAGCTATTTGGTTATCCTGATATATATAGTTTGTAACAGGAAAGGCAAAGTAAATGCTTAATTCTTTCTTCATGTAGCAAGAAGAAAACGAGTTCGTGCCCGAGCAATCTCTAAAGGAAATCAATAAGTTCCTTTTTAATTTGTTTTAGTTGTATTATGAATTCATTAATTTTTATATATTTGATGGGTTTCAACACACTGCAATAAATTTTTTTTTTGGCCACTCCCGGCGGCATGTGGGCTTTTAGTTCCCTGACCAGGGATCGAACTTGTGCCCCCTGCATTGGGAGCACAAAGTCTTAACCACTGAACCGCAGGTAAGTCCCTGCAATAAATTTTTTGAAGCTCAAATTATACCTTCTTTAGCCAGTTGGAGTCCCTTCAAGAAGGTTTCTCTGTCTTTTGACACAATCCCAGCAGTTCCAATAGTTTCTTTACTTTCTGGCGTGACAAGATATCCCAAGTGTATTTTGTATATTTACTGCCCTAGTCTAACTATTTCTTTAAGAAGCCCTGCTTCATTTTAGTTGGACATAACGATCCTAATCTAATTTAGTTGGACATAATAATCCTAATCTAAGTCCAAGTGGTACAAATACTACCAGGATATCATCGTTTTTAGGGTTTTTTGGTTTTTGTTTTGTTTTGTTTTTTTGCGGTACGCGGGCCTCTCACTGTTGTGGCCTCTCCCGTGGTGGAGCACAGGCTCTGGACACACAAGCTCAGCGGCCATGGCTCACAGTCCCAGCCGCTCCACGGCATATGGAATCCTCCTGGACCGGGGCACGAACCCATGTCCCCTGCATCGGCAGGCAGACTCTCAACCACTGCACCACCAGGGAAGCCCCGCTTTTAGGGTTTTTAATGAACAAAGCTAGGAAATTAATATTTTTAGAAATAAAAATAAATCAAATTTGTACTGATGTTTTCAATTCAAATTAAGGATCTCAAGAGTTCTGCTTAGTTTTTTAATTCTATACTTGTATCGCTCTCCTCTTACACTGCAAATCTTAGTTTCTATTGACATTAACATACTTCCTTTACTCCAATATATAAAATATTGTAAAATAACAGTATTCACTATTACTACTAATAGTAAGTCTACTGAATATAGTTTAATATTTCTTTGTGTTTCATTTTGTTCTTGGGATCTATTCCACTAGGGAGGTACAGTCAAAATAGTGTATTTCAGCATTGTTTGAAATCATTTTTCCCATGTGAATGTGCCTCCAACTTGTCATATAGTTAAGTTTATTTGTTTTAGTTTGGCATATGGGTTACTTAAATATTTTTGATAATTTAAAAATTATATTAAAAGTTACTCATGATTATAAAGTTAAAATTATCAAATAAATTGCGTTTAAAGAGGTCTAGCGGTCACGCCTGACCTCTTGGCTTACATCTTCCTGTGTCAGAGAACAATTTTTATTAGTTTCCTTCCATTGTCTTCAAAATATAAGCAAATATGTACATATAAGAATGTAGTTTTGGGGACTTCCCTGGTGATGCAGTGGTTAAGAATCTGCCTTCCAATGCAGGGGACACAGGTTCGAACCCTGGTCCAGGAAGATCCCACATGTCGCGGACCAACTAATCCCGTGTGCCATAACTACTGAGCCTGAGCTCTAGAGCCCGCGAGCCACAACTACTGAGCCCACGTGCCGCAACTACTGAAGCCTGCGCACCTAGAGCTTGGGTTCTGCAACAAAAGAAGACACTGCAATGAGAAGCCCGCATACTGCCACAAAGCGTAGCCCCTGCTCGCCGCAACTAGAGAAAGCCTATGCGCGGCAACAAAGACCCAATGCAGCCAAAAATATAAATAAATAATAATAATAATAATAAAAGAATGTAGTTTTAACCTTGTAGTACTCTGTGCACATTTTCACTCAGGATGGGAGCAGGTAATATTATTTTTAATTTTTGAATTCCCCAGTGCACATCTCTAGTGCCTAGCATTTGGTATTATTTTATCAAAAATTATAGTCCCACCTGACACTTCTTGTCTCCTTTCCCTGCTTTATTTTTCTCCAGATCACTTATCATTAGTTAATATGCTCTATATTTTCCTTATTATCTTTATTGTTTGTCTTCCCCACCAGAATTTTAATCTATTTGTTCCTGCTGTAACCCCAGCGCCTAAAACAATGCTTAGCACTCAAACAATATTTCTTGAATGAATAAAAGAATGTTTGGCAAGTATTTGAAGAAAAAGTAAATGAATGAACAGCTACATGAATAAATGAATTGACTTAGGGCCATGACCTCATGCTCCCTCATCCCATCCCAAAGAACCCGCTTTGGAGCTGGGCCACTACCCAAGACCCCAGGGCTGACTCTGAGACATTCTTGCCTCTCACCACAGGTGTCAAATGTGGGGGTGTGCTCTCAGCACCTTCTGGAAACTTCTCCAGCCCCAACTTCCCCAGTCTCTACCCCTACAACACGGAGTGCAGCTGGCTGATTGTGGTAGCTGAGGGCTCCTCAGTGCTGCTCACCTTCCACACCTTCGACCTGGAGTACCATGACACCTGCAGCTTCGACTTCCTGGAGATCTACAATGGGGCCTCCGGGGACCAGGGCAACCTGCTGGGGAGGTTCTGCGGCCAGGTACCCCCACCGCCCTTTGCCTCCTCCTGGAACGTCATGTCTGTGGTCTTCCACTCAGACAAGCACGTGGCCAGCAGAGGCTTTTCCGCGGGCTACCAGAAAGGCAAGGGGGACTTGGCAGTGGAGAGGGTGGCCCTGGGTGGGGATGGGGGGAGGGCGATGGGGTAAGGTGACGGGCAGGGTCTCAGCATCTTAGCGTGTAGGCTGCTCTGTAACCTGGATGCCCCTGCTCTCATAGCTCATGGGGCAAAGGCAGCCTCTGTTGGTAGTTTTTTTTTTCTGTTGGTAGTCTTGGTGGTTGTGTGTTCCCACCTTCATGGCAACACTCCCCACGTCTCCCTCCGTTATTCCGGGAGTCCTCGGAGGGTCTCACTGTGCTCAGGAATGAGGCCTCTCATGCTCTCCTATCCTTGTCCTTCTCACCCCATACATGGCATCAGGACACTGGAGGGGACACCGGAGGGGACACACTGCTGCCACTGCTGCTGATCTCTCTGTGGCGTCTCATGTCACGGGCACGGGATTCTCTCCCCCTCCCCATCATGTCCTCGGAGTGGAAGGTGCATGAGCGTCTGCGTGGAGCTGGTGACGCTCTCCCTCCCAAAGCCTTTCCTGAGCTCACCTCCTATATCGTGGTCCCTAACCCCTCCCTCCCCCAGCCAGGCTTGGAGCCTACCCCTCAGGCTAGTGAGGGGAGCAGAGGCTTCACCCTCCTTGCCTTTCTTTCTCCTTGACTCATTCCTCTTTCCTCAGGCTTCTCTGCACGGACTCAGACCTCCTACCTTCTCCCAAGGCCAAAACCAAAGGCCTTCCTCACAACAGCTCAAGCAATAGGCTCCGCAGAGGCTCCTGGTGTACGGGGTTCACCAACAGCAATCAGGGCCGGGGTGAGGGTGCATACAGTTCTATGCCTCCAAAGCCAGACACCAGCTCCCACTGGCTTTGGAGGCATAGTATTGTAGAATGGTAAAACACAAGAAACACAGATCGATCTAATCATAGCAGTGGAGCTTTAGATCCCTAGATTTTCAGACTCTTAGGGTATCAAAGTTATAATACCATGTGCAATGTTTTCCAATATTTTTTAAAACAGGAGTACCCTTATATCAAATGGAACCTTATGTTAATCCCTGATATGTAAAAGAGATAAAGGCAGCATTTTAAAAAAATAAATTTTATTTATTTATTTATGGCTGCATTGGGTCTTCGTTGCTGTGCGTGGCCTTTCTCTAGTTGTGGTGAGCGGGGGCTACTCTTCTTTGTGGTACGTGGGCTTCTCATTGTGGTGGTTTCTGTTGTTGTGGAGCACAGGCTCTAGGCGCATGGGCTTCAGTAGTTGTGGCACGAGGGCTCAATAGTTGTGGTGCGATGGCTCAGTAGTTGTGGCACACAGGCTTAGTTGCTCCATGGCATTTGGGATCTTCCCAGGTCAGGGATCAAACCCGTGTGCCCTGCATTGGCAGGTGGCTTCTTAACCACTGCGCCACCACGGAAGTCCCAAAGGCAGCATTTTTGTTGTAAGCGTTCATAAGTTCGTATTTTTAACATTTACTTATTATAAGCTAATCATTGAAAGCATAGGTAAATATTGATGGCCTCCAATTAGTTAAATTTTTACATATAAGATATGTGACTGTGGATGCTATCTTTCATTGAATTAAAAAATAGTTTGAATACAGAAAAAGAAGGACATTTACACCAGATGTCTGCAAATAGATGCCCAGGGGCTACCGTGGAGCCCCAGAACACATTTTGAAAGTCTCTGCTAAGGGTATTGACAGCAGACAGGATCTCACAGACTGTCAAAACCTGCCCTCTCATTTGACAAACAATACACCTGAGACCAGAGAGGGAATGTGCCTTCCCAAGGTCACACATCTGGGAAGGGGAAACTGGGACAGGAAGTCAAGGCCTTAGCCGCCCGGCACAGTGCTCCGTTCACACAGCCATGCCATGGAGTGAGATTCTGGCGTCTCAGGGGACACAACCGAGTGTGCCCCTCCCTGCCGGTGGCCTCCAACTAGTCCTGGCATTCATTATCACCTAGCTCCCAGTTGTACTGGCTACACTGGGTTCCAAAGGGCTTTCACCAGAAACTTATTAAACTCTGCACGCGTCTGAGCCGGGTGGATCAGTCTGAACAGGTCTTATGATTTTTAATATTCCCATGAGGCTCAGAGAGGCTGAGTTACTTGCCCACCGTCACACAACAATAGAAGACTAAGCTGAGAGGAGACCTGTCTTCAGACTTCAAGCCCGTCTCTACTCCTTCAGATCCTCCCTCTAAGCCTCAGTTTCTTCATCTGTTCAGGAGATTTGATAATGTTCCTGGTCTCAGGTACCTCAGCCTCTATGCTCCACTAGCCTGGTAGGAGGGGACAGTGAGACTGATAAGGTCAAGTGCACAGACTCTGAAGTTAGTCAAATCCTGCCCTCCCTGATACCAGGGGGTGACCTGCTGTCAGGGTCCTGCCCTGTCCCTTGGGGCCTTGCCACTGCAATGGCTCTTGCCAATCTCCACATCTCTTTGCTTCAGGGCTTTTTCCGAAGCTTTGGCAGATCACCTCTACCCCCAGCAGCCCTCAGCCTCGATTCTGGGGAATGCCCCCGCTCCCTTACCCTCTCTGCCTCGCTGCCCATCTGCAGTCCTCTGTCTCTCCCAGATAAACTACTTGGGTTCAAATCCTTGTCTCGGGCTCAGTCTGGGTGAAGCCCAACTCACACAAGTAAGTTATTTAACTTCTCTCTGCCTCCAGTCTCTCAGCTGTAAAATGGGGGAAACCACGGTGCGTTCCTCATGGGGTTACGGTGATGGCCTAGAAAGATGGCCTGTGCCCATCACTTACCAAGTGCTCAGTGGGTGGTGACAAGAATCCCGTGAACACCTGTGGGCTTGGCATTTCCCAAGGGAGGAGATGGGGGAGCCACAGGGAGGGAGAAATTTCGGTTCAAGCGGGCTCCCTTGCAGATGCATGTGGTGGCGTCCTGACGGGCCTGTCGGGGGTCCTCACCAGCCCCGAGCACCCCAACAACTACCCCAACAACGTGGAGTGTCGCTGGGTGATCCGAGCCTCCGGCCCCGCCACCGTCAAGCTGGTCTTCGTGGACTTCCAGGTGGAGGGCAGTGAGCAGTGCACCTACGACTACGTGGCTGTGCTCGGGGGGCCCGGCCCCGCCCATGGGCACCACTACTGCGGCAGCTCCAGGCCCCCCACGCTCGTGTCGCTGGGCCACGAGCTGCAGGTGGTCTTCAAGTCTGACTTTAACATCGGGGGCCGGGGCTTCAAGGCCTACTACTTCTCAGGTAGGAGGGCGGGAGCCACACCCTGAGCGCCCTGTGTGTGCTGGGCTCCTGCCTCCCCATCACGCCTGCGGCGGGGCGCGGCGGGGTTGTACTCTTCTGCCTCTGGGCCTTACACTTCCTGCTCTTTCTCTGCCTGAAACGTTCTAGCACACCCTCTCCTGTCTGGCCGATGCCAAGGCACAAGCATGTCACCTCCTCTGGGAAGCCTCCTTGATTCACTCAGAATTATTCCCCTTCCTTCAACTCCTTAGAGAAGTTTTCTCATAGCAATGATCTAACACATCACTTCTGTACCTAGTTTGCATGCTGATTTCCTCTGCTTGACTGTGAGTTCCTACGGACTTATCTTTGTACCTGCTACATAGAGGGTATTCAATTAATGTTTGTACAAATGAATGAATGAACCCTTGGGAATTAAACTGTCTAGTGGAGGAGATAGAGAAGGAAACAGACAATGACAATGCACTGTGATCTGTGCTGTCTAACAGTAAGAATCATGGATGACTTCCTGGAGGAGGAGAGAATTGAGCAGTGCTTTAAAGGTGTTAGCCAGTGGCAGAAGAAAGGGAAGAGTGTTCCAAGCAGAGGGATCAGCATGTGCAGAGGCACGGAGGACAGAGAGGGTTTGTGTGCTTGTACTACTAGGAAATGTTTGGTGAGGCTGGAAGGTAGGGCTGGATGAGGGGCAGGGAGAAAAAGGGCAAGGTCAGGTCATGAGCCACCTTGTCTGTCAAGTCCAAGTTGGACTCAACTCCGAAGAGAGGTATTAGGCATTGTTATTGAATTCCTATCAGAGTCAACACTAATGAAATGGTTTACCCATTGGAATGACGGTCTCAGCTTCCAGCTAGTTTCAGTTTAAAGCAGGCTTTGGGATCAGTTGTCTGGTTTTCTGGCCATGGTGCCCACAACCTGCCAGGGTGGTTTTAGGACCCTATAGCGCCTACTGCCCAAGCTGTAACTGCAGAGGGTGACAGTCTCCACCCGTCTTACCATTGCTCCTCTGTCCTGCTCTCCCCAATCCAGGAGAATGCCAGGAGGTATACACAGCAGTGCGGGGCAACTTCTCCAGCCCACAGTACCCCAGCTCCTACCCCAACCACATCCGGTGTCACTGGACCATCCGCCTGCCTCTTGGCTACCGGGTCAAAGTGTTCTTCCTGGACCTGGAACTGGAGGGGCCCAACAGCCTGACCAAGACCTGTGACTTTGACCATCTGGCAGCCTTCGACGGGGCCAGTGAGGAGGCGCCCCTGCTGGGCAGTTGGTGTGGCCATCACCTGCCACCACCGGTCACCTCGAGCCACAACCAGCTCCTGCTTCTGCTGCACACAGACCGTAGCACCACCCGCAGGGGCTTCTCTGTGGCCTACATTGGAGGTCAGCTGGGGTTGAGGGTATGGGTGTGTTGGTGGGGGAAGGTGAGGCTGGGGTTTCTGGTCTTTGCAGCCTCTTCCCTCCATCTCACCAACTTCTCCGTTGGCTGCACCACTGCGGACTCCTGCCCTGGAAACTCTGAGGCTATATTAATATGGTCCTTGCTTATTTTCACTATTACAGTGCCATATTTTTCCAGCTTCTAAATCCACAATTCCTAATTCCTCCCTATCTGTCACCTTCCTCCATGGGCCCCTGGCCTCTCTTGTACTATGATTAATTCTCTGTATCCAGGGGTAATACACAAGATATGGTAATACTATTTATGGAAAACAATTAATATAATCATGGAGATGCTGACCAACCTTGCTTGTACAGTCATAAGTCCTGACTGACAGTGGTTTGAAAAAATGACCTTTGGTTTCCTTACATAACAAAAAGCCTAGAGCTAGGCAGCTGCTGTATTGGTTCAGGGACTCAACAGTGTCCCAGCTGATATGTCTGGGATTCTCTTGACCTCATGACCACAAGATGGCTGCCACAACTCCAGACATCATGTCCATGTTCAAGGCTGGAAGAAGGTAGGGGAGGTGCCAGCCACAAATGTTCCTTTATCAGGAAAGTAAAAGCATTTTCGGAAGCCCTCAGAAGACTTCTTCTTGTTCTCGTTATTTTGAACTTGGTCATATGGCCATGCCTAGCTGAAGAGTTGGCTAGGGAACTTGGCACTCAGCTTTTCCATCCCCCATAGTGCTAGTTAGATTTGCCAGCTGACAGCAGCTATCATCTATCCCCTCCTCTCATCACCCTTCCCTGGGCCACAGTCCCAGAAATGCTTGTGCTCTGGACCCATTTTGCCCTCTGCCTGACTAGGCTAGAGCCTCTTGTTGTGCAGGTGCAGAAACAGAGGTGCAGAGAGGAAACGACTTTCACTGCTGTCACACGGGCAGTGGGTGGCACAGCCAAGGCTAGAACTCACACCCTTCCTTTTGTGTGGCTAAGCAGGGCCTGGGGAGGAGGCCCAGGACTGAGCTCAGACGGATGGGGGCCACATCCAAATGCTGCCATTTACTGACCATCCAATGGTGCTCACCTGTAGGATGAGTTGATGCATGCTCTAGACAGGTGGTCGTTAAGATGAAATGAGGTAACACAGGTCACAGTGCCTGCCTCCGAGGGCATCCTTGCTGAGTGTGGATTTCTTTCCCTTGTGTGTCTCAGTCCTGGTCTGCACTCAAAAGATCTTTCCTCGGGACTTCCCTGGTGATCCAGTAGTTAATACTCCGTGCTCCCAATGCAGAGCAGGTCTGATCCCTGGTCAGGGAACTAAGATCCTGCATGCCACACGGCGCAACCAAAAAAAAAAGTCTTTCCTCTTCTTCCTTCCTTCCTTCCTTCCTTCCTTCCTTTCTTTCTTTCTTTCTTTCTTTCTATTTATTTTTGGCTGCATTGGGTCATCGTGGCTGCGCACGGGCTTTCTCTAGTTGCAGTGAGCGGGGGCCACTCTTCGTTGCGGTGCACAGGCTTCTCATTGCGGTGGCTTCTCTTGTTGCAGAGCATGGGCTCTAGGCATGCGGGCTTCAGTAGTTGTGGTTCGCGGGCTCTAGAGCGCAGGCTCAGTAGTTGGGGTGCATGGGCTTAGTTGCTCCACAGAACGTGGGATCTTCTTGGACCAGGGCTCGAACCCGTGTCCCCTGCATTGGCAGGAGGATTCTTAACAACTGCGCCACCAGGGAAGTCCTTCCTCTTTCCTTACCCATGTGCAAGAGGCGTTTGGGGGCCCAGCGATGGTTAAGGAAACAGTAGAGCTGCAGCAAGCTAGTGGCAGCAAAGTGACCTGGGCAGGCGCTCCCTCTGTGGGCCTCAGTCATCTCCATCCATAAACCTGGAGGAGGGCTGTCCCTCTGTTAGAGCGACCCCTTTCCCAGAGTGCACTCAGAGAGCGAGGTGCCTTGGGGCTCTGCCACAGCTAGCTGGCAAGTTGCTTTCTCTCTGCGGGTCTCAGTAAAATGAAAATATCAGCTGAAGGAGCTGAGAAGTCCCTTTTGCTCTGATCATCTTATTTCTGGTCCTGGGTCCTCTCCCAGCTGTGTGTGATCTTGGACAAGCTCCTTCTCCTTTTGTTGCCTCCAGAGACACCTCCCCGATGGCTGTGGGAGCCCAGATGCCTTTGGGAGCCCAGGGTCAGACACGGCACTAGTGCTGGGCCAGGCTCCAGATGTGGCCCAGGCTGCAGGCGGCCTCCCGACTGGAGGACAGCCTCGGCATCAATCAGGGGTGACACACAGTTCAGCATCACCAAGATCATCGTGGGAGACGGTGGGCCCATAAATCCCCGATTGCCCAGACACCAGGGGCTGAAATATGTCTGAGGCATTTCCCGGAGAGGGGTTGAGATTTCCAGGCCTCTGCCTATCAGCTCTTTCCTTTTCCTCCTGCCAGCCACCCCGCTTCCTTCCCCTTACCCTCACCCTTGCCCCAGCAAGCACTGCCTCCGTACACACACACGTGCACGCACACACAGGCTCGCACGATCCCAGACACTTAGAGTCACACAGGCCTGGCTGGGAGGGGCTGCAGGGGGCCACCACATAAGGTGGAGAGACCAGGAACTGTGGGATCTTACAGACGCAATGATTAAAATCCTGGCTTAGCCACTGCCGACAATTTCACCTCTCAGAGCTCCGGGTTCCAAAACTTTCAAATGCGTTTAGTCATGTGCACCTCAAGGCGTCATCATGAGGAGGGAGAGTGGGGCTTCCTTCACCACCCTTTTCAAACTGCAGCCACTGCAGCCCTTACCCACACACATGCTGCTCTCCCCGCTCCCCGTCTTTCTTCTTTGCTTGATTTTCCTTCAGACTACTCTGATGCTTAGGTGTATCTTACATATTTACTGCCTCCTCACTCAACTAGAATGTAAGCTCCAAGAGGGTAGGCATTTGTGGCTGGTTTTTCTCTTTTCATCTCTGTATCTGGTGTTTAGAATAGCGCCTGCACATAGTGGGCCATAAATACTTGTTAAATGATTGAATGAATTGCCTGGTATATGGCAAACATGATCAGCCAATAATAGCTTTCATTATGATTAAGAATATTCATTCAGTCAGTCAGTCAGTCGTTTATTCAGCATTCACTGCACCTGCCAAGCTCTGTGTTGGGCTCAGAGGGCGCTGAGAAGTAAGCAGGGGGCCTGCCCTGGAGCTCAGAGTTTGATGGAGTTAAACGGAGTAACGTGTGTAAAACATCCTCGTAGGACCGCTTAAGAGCCATCCCCTCTCTGGGCCTCGGTTTTCCATCCACCACCCTTTGGATAGGGGCTTGGAGAGGGTGGGGGTCAGACCGCCTGCCCCCATGTCCTCCAGCTCCCCCTTCCCGTCCATCCTCAGTGGTCCCCATGAACGTGAGTTGCTCCCGCACGGACTTCCAGATCCTGATCTCCGCGCAGGCACTGGCCCCTCTAGAACGGACCAAAGTCTACCTGGGCAGCCGGAGCTGTGCTGCTCAGGAAGTCGGCAGCAACTTCCGGATCCAGGCCCGCTTTGACACCTGTGGCACCGAGTCTCAGGTAGGGACTGGGAGAGGAGTGCGGGCACGAGGGAGGGGCTCTGATCCCTGGGGAGAGGCACCTGCCAGACCTGAGAATTCAGCTTCTCTTCCTGGCTCTGGTCACCCCAGAAGCCTGGATGCAGAACTCAGCCCCTCTTGATTTTACCTCAACAAACTTGCTCAGTGTAGGCACAACAAAGAACTCAGGTAGGGGAGACAGAGAAGGGGTGCCCTGCTGCACAAGCTGGTGACAACCGAAAGCCCATACTGGAGGGCCCTCCCTCAAGGTCCTGTGAACTGACTGTTCCTGGGGGCCTTCCTGCTGCCCCCCTCCCCACTGGAGCTCCCCAGGGCCACCCGGTCCCTACCTCTCTAATGCACAGAGCTGTTTGAGTGCTGCTGCCTCCTGCCCACCCCCTCCACAACCTTGTGATCCAAATCCATCACTGGGCTCCGCAAAAAAGAGGGGCCCCTCAAGAGACAGGATCCACCTCCCTCCAAAGGCAGCGAGGTGTACAAATGAAGTCTTTCTACTCTCCTTGTATTTCGGAGGCCTAGAACCCAGGCTTGGGGCCCTCAGAGTCACCTGGTAGTGGCCCAGGAACCCTGGATGTTTGGATTCTCAGGGACAGGTTGGGAAGGGGAAAGGGGGAGAAGGCACAGTGGTCTCTATCGGGGACAACACCCCAGCCTTGGTGACGAATCTGGGGATTCGTCAGACTGTCTTAGCAGAAATCATGTGCTTTCCAGCAAACCATATTTCCCCGCCACCCAACATTAACCGAATGTATGCCTCTGGCCCCTCCAGTCCACCCTCTGCTTCCCCAGCCTCCTGGCGGCCATCATCCTTTTAACCTGAGCAGAGGAGAAGTGGGAGTCAATCTGCCCTCACCTCTACACCATGCCCTAAATCCCCTTGGGGTTTTCTCTGCGGGCCGAACCACGTTCCATAGAGTCATAAAATGATGGAGACAGAGAACCCCAGAAGCAAGGAATCATGAAATCTAGAACAAAGAACTCACAGACACCCAAGGTCTCAAAGTCACAGAACCACCACTAGAACCTGGAGCCACATAATCATAGAATCTTGGCATCAATATCATGGAAACATAAAAACTGAGAGCCTCAGACTCATGGATTCTTAGTGTAACACTTATAAGTCCTAGACCCATGAGGACCAGCCAGTCTGGATTGAGTTGCTTTCAAAGATGCACAGTTCAAATGGCCAAAAGCCGTGACAACCTATCTGTGCATCTCTTAAGAACCACGGAGACTTGATTTCATAACCGTAACACCACATTTGTGTGGACTTTCCTCCTCAAGTCTCACTCATCAAAAACCCATGAAACTTCCCTGCACACCTGTTTTGTGTGATTTTTCCCTCCCTTCTTTATTACGTGGAATCACTTTGGCCCTTTCACTGGGTCCCCTTCCACTCTCAGGTTCTGTCTTTCTGTGTCACAAAAGTCCAGGACGCCGGCTCTCCTCAGAGGGTGTGGTGGTAGACAGGCGGAGGGCACAATGCAGAAGAGGCTCCTCTGGGGACATGGGCTCAGAGCTTTTTGGAAGCCCAGAGCTGGGAGAGACCCACAAGGTCATCTGGTCCATGAAACTCCAGATCCGTGATTCCCCTTCACTGCCTCCCCCAAAAGGACCACCCAGTGTCCAGTGATGGCAGCTTCCTGCAGGTCACGCCCATTTGCTCTGTTCTAGGCAGCTTTGGTTTTTAGAGAAGCCTCAGCTCAGAAGAGCCATGACTGGACAGGGGCAGCTGGGCGGCCTGAGGAGTGTAACGGCTGCTCTAGATTAGGGGTGGGTGGGGAGAGTAGCCCAGCAACACTGCAGCCCCCAATCCAGACCACACCAGACTGCCCATCAAAATGCTGTCCCTCTGTCCCCAGCCCAAACACCACTGTCTCAGGGCGTCCTAAGTCCTGCCTCCTTCATCCATGGGGGTGGGGAGGGCAGCGGTGTGACGGGCTCCCCACATCACACTCCTCAATGGCTCTTCCCAACCCCAGGGTGGTGCTACTGGGCTGAACAGAACTCAACCACAGGGACACATAATTGCTGCAGACATAATTGGGCAAAACGACTCCAGAAGGAAAGTCCCGTAACACCAGGGACAGAGCATCTAACTGGGAGGCAGGAGACTCGGCTTCTGGATCTAGCTCTGGGCAAATTACTGCCTTTGCTGGGCCTCGGTAGCCACATCTGTAAATTGCCAGGGAAGGGAGATTGAACTAGATGTCCTGAAATTCCCCTTTGGTTCTACAGTCTTTGGTTTGAGTGAGGTGTGATGGCTTAGAGCACAGTTAAGAATCAGGCAGATCTGGGCTTCCCTGGTGGCGCAGTGGTTGAGAGTCCGCCTGCCGATGCAGGGGACACGGGTTCGTGCCCCAGTCCGGGAAGATCCCACATGCCGCGGAGCGGCTGGGCCCGTGAGCCATGGCTGCCGAGCCTGCGCGTCCGGAGCCTGTGCTCCGCAATGGGAGAGGCCACAACAATGAGAGGCCCGCGTACAGAAAAAAGAAAAAAAAAGAGAATCAGGCAGATCTGGAAGAGAATACGTTCCCTGTCAACTGTGTGCTGTGTGACCTCAGACAAGGGATTTAACCTCTGGGCCTCATTTTCCTTATCTGGCAAATGGAGATATTAATGGTACCAATAAGAGAATGTTGTGAGAATTAAATGAGATAATGCCCTTAAAATGCGGAGCCTGGAACGTGGCGAATGTCCCTGTTGTTACTGTTACTATCTTTCATAGACACCACCTCCTTCAAGCCAGAGCAAACACTGGCCCATCAAATATATATTGTCCTTTCAGACATCGTCGTAGTGCTCCTTTTACAGGTAGGGACACAGGCTCTGAGTGGGAAGGGAGTCAGTAGCCAAGCTGGGACTGGAAACCAGGCTCTGGAGTTCTGTCCCCTTGGCACTCAGTGCCTACACATCCAGGGGAACAGGGTCAGCCCTGGCTCCTTCAGGTGTGAGCAAGTGCCCCTTGACCCCCACAGAGAAGAAACAACACTTCAGTGATCGTCAGTGTGCTGTACATCGACTTCTCAGCTGGTGGGCAGGAGGATATCCACGAATACGAGGTCCGCTGTGAGCCAAGGCGAAAGGAGGCCTCTGTCCACCTGCTGTCCGGCTCCCACTGGCTTGGGCCCTATGCTGCCACGGCAGAGCACCTTCAGGAGGCACCACCCAGGGATGAGGCAGAGGCACTGGAGGGCCCCGTGGCCATGGTGGCCCAGGACACCAGTGACATCGTCTTCCTGGGCCTTTGCATCCTGGCTGGAGTCCTCATGGTCATTGCCATAGTGGTTCTGATGCTGCTGTAAGCAGGGAAGGTAGGGAAGTGGCATCTGACATCCCTGGGAGGCAGCTTGGGCACCCCACAACAGGGGCAGGACCAGGCCTTGTTGACTTTATGATGACCATGGGCAAGTCACTATCCCCCTCTGAGCCTCAGTTTCCTGGGGACCTTTACTCCACCCTGCTTATCTCACAGGGCTGGCGTGAGGCTCAGAGAAGAGCATGGATAAGAGCTGCATAAACTATAGCATGCCATGCATGTGTGTGCAATTGTTGTTGTTGTTGTTATTAATTTTGAAGATTTTCTGCTATAGAAAAGAACTCTCCTGTGTGTATTTGTCAGCATAAATAGTTGTGGTCACTGGTGACAGAGCTGATAAAACTGACTTGTTCTATAACTTGTATGATACCAATAAATCCCCTCCTAATTTTCTGACTAATTGCTCATCTTAAGCATTCATTAGCAGGAAGTTCGGTATCCATCCAGGGGCCTCTACTCTCCTGAACTGATCCAGGAACCCTGAGGACTTTATCTAAAGCAGATTAGTCCTGCCTCCAAACTCCAGGAACAGAGAGAAAGGAAGCTGAAACCCCACCTAGTGCTGTTGCTTTAGCCCCTGCCACATGGTGGCGCTGTTGAAGACTGGTCTTGGGCATCCTGGTGGATGCCTGTCCACCGGATGGACAGACCCCTAGAGTATAAACCACAGGCAGTAGTGAGGCTGGAGCCTGAGGACCGGTGTCTCTTTCATGTTGGCATTTTTCCTTAAATAAACCATGATCCTTGACTGAAAAACTGATTGAAGTCCCATGTGTCCCTGTCCTTGCCCTGATGTTGAGCTCAGATTACTAGCCCATCCTTCTCCAGCTGAGCTCTCTTTTGAGCCCTCTGGACTTTCTCCTGCCATTGGACTTCACTCAGAGATACTCCAGTCCACCCACATTTTTCTAAGTTCACACCACAGTGAGCAGGGGTTGGATTTCCAATGCTTCCCTGTGAGAAGACCTCTGGCATCCTTATGCGAATTGGTCCAGCACTCCCAAGCCCTATATATCAAGAAGTGGAGGGCTTCCCTGGTGGCGCAGTGGTTGAGAGTCCGCCTGCCGATGCAGGGGACATGGGTTCGTGCCCCAGTCCGGGAAGATCCCACATGCCGCGGAGCGGCTGGGCCCGTGAGCCATGGCCGCTGAGCCTGCGCGTCCGGAGCCTGTGCTCTGCAACGGGAGAGGCCAAAGAAGTGGAGCAGTCTTGTTAATGAAAAATAAACAAAAACTACATTTATAATACATGACTTTCCCCTGTTCAGCTTTATATTTGCATAATGAATCACTCAAGTGAGTCCTTTCATAATAACAAAAATCTCCAAATTGACCGTGCCGACCACTGACATCAATTTAAAAAATTGTAGTCCAATTACAATCCCTTCAACAATCCAGCAAACATCCACTGGTTTCTAGCCTTGTGCCTATTGCTGTGATAGGCTCCAGGCATACAGAGGGGAGCAAGTCAAAAGAGATTCCTGACTTCAAGAGGCTTATAGTCAAGTGTAGCCAAATCAGGGACAGGGAGGGCAGATAAGTTGGTAATTTGCAGAGAAAAGACCTAGAGAGAAAAGAGCTGATATGGCAAGAAATGAATTAAGCAAGGGAAAAAGAGGAGCCTGCACATTGGGAGAACTGGGTTCAAGTCCACACTCTTCTTTTTAATTGAGTGAGCCTGAGCAAGCCACTTTGATGCTATGAGCCTTGATATACCCACCTGCAGAATGGGACCACAGTTCCAGGTCTGTTGTGAGGGCATAGCAACGTGATGAATTAGAGATCTGTCAGGGTCATGTGCCAGCAGGAGACTCTGGGGTGTTTGGAGCAGAGGCCCCAGCCTCTTCCTCTCCCACCCACTTCTTGCTCTCAGACTCCTCCAGCCGCTGAGCCAGGCTTCCTTCACCAGCCTGAGTTGTGAACACCTCATAAACTTCCCAGGTCTCAATTTCCCTGTCTGGGCAGGACTGGACACACATTATACACTCTCTGAGGACGACCTTGGGTGGGGTTCTGCCTCCCGAGCCCATGAGCTGGGTTTTGGGGTGGCAGCGGGACCTAAGCTTGCCTTGTCCTCATCAGCTCATCAGATGGGGGAGACGATAGGCCAGCCTATGGCAGGGCCAATGGCGTCTGCGCACAAAGCTGGGAGCCTCGATCTCCACCCTCAGCAGCTGATCTTCAAGGGCCCCAGCACAGAGGCTGGAGCTGCCCCTCTGCAGACAGACCACCCGGGTTGAACTCAGGCTCTGCTACTTGCTAGCTGTGTGACCTTGGGCAGGTCACCTCATCTCTTTGAGCTGCAGCCTTCTACCGGCAAAGTAGGAATAATAATAACACTGACCTCATCTGTCCATTGTGGGGATTAAATGAGATAATGCATGACAGTGCCCGCCCATGGAAGGAGTCAACAAAACTCACTCATTACCATTGACCTATGAGTCAATGGTAATGAGCAAAGGCTCTGGCCTCGAAACCCAAGTTCTAGGCCCAGCTTTGTCACTGACTTGCTGTGTGACCTTGGGGGAGCACATTTCCTTCTCTGGCCTCAGTTTCCCTATTTCCAAAATGTGGCAGGCATCATTATCAACGCCAGCACCATCACTTTCATAGCTACTATTCTTAAGCACCCCTACATGGCAAGGGTTTAAGATATATCCTCCCACTTAAGCCACCTTGTGAGGCAGACATAGTTGCCCCCATTTTACAGATGAGGAAATTGAGGTTTGGGGAGGGAAAGTGCTGTGCCCAAGGTCACATGGCTATGACATGTTGAAACTAGGCTAAGAGGGACTAAGAGTGCCCCCTGTGCTGGGGGCACTATGCAGCGACCTGGGGCCTCTTGGGACCCCAGGCCAATGCTCTGAAACACGAGGGCTGTACCTGCTTGGGAAAGGACTAGAATGGCAGAGAAAGAGAGGATGGTTTTATCTTCCCGGTCGTGCCCAGATACTGCCATTCCCAGCCCTCCAGGCAGCCAGTGCATTGATCATCCTGCAGGAAATGACAGTCTTTATGACAGCATATTGTCTCCAGAAATGAAAGGGCTGAAATGATACCCATTAGCCAGTGCACCCTAGCCCTGGATGTATCGGGCATGGGGGGTGGAGGGGGCGGGCACGGCGCAGCTTTCCTGATCACCTACCATTTCCCCTTTTCAGAGGGTAGGGGGCTGTGGAAAAAGTCAGGCTTAGACCCCAGATCCCTCCCTATTGGCATATGGCCTTGGGATGTGCCTCCCCCAAGCCTGGAGCTTTGGTTTCTCCTGCCAGCCTGTCCCTGTAGGGCCAATATTATTGATGAGGAAGCCCTTGGCAAATGGCGGTGCTGGTCCTGGGAAAACCTCTCCTGGCCTGCAGGTCAGGCAGACCTGGGTTCCTTTCCAGTTCTTTCTCTGACTCTATGTGACCTTGGGCAAGTTGCTTAACCTCTCTGAACCTCAGTTTCTTCATGTGTGGAATGGGGGTAGAAAAACCCTCCTCATGAGGTCATTGTGAGGACTGAGAGAACAAGGGGGTGAGCCCCACATGGGGCCTCCTCCTGGACCATTCAGGAAGTGGCTGCTGGCCAGCCCTGGGCTCTTCTCACATCCCAGAGCTGGAAGGGCCTTACAAGAAAGCAAGTTCCCACCCACTCCTAGGAGTCTCCCCTGCACCCAACCTGCCCTGGCCTCCCGGCTTCCCTGCTGTTTGTCAATAGACCGAGGTCGTTCCCACCCCCAGCCTTTCTCGCTCCTGGTCCCTCTGTGTGGAAACTCCTTGCACCGAGCGTCCCCTGACCTGGCTCCTGCACATCCTTCTCTGCCCAGTGGGCCTCCAACCACGTATCTAAAACTGCACCTCCACCCCTTCACTTTGTACCCTTTTGCTTTGCTTTGTCTCCTTCACAGAATGAACTGTCACCTGAAATGGTGTGAGGAGTGTGCTTACTTTTGCCTGCTTACGCCCACTTCCCCTCAGTGAAACGCCAGCTCCATGAAGTCTGTCTTCATCAGAGCCTGGTACACGTGGCCTTCAGTGAGCACTTGCGGTTGAATGAGCGAACAAACAAGTGAATGAATGGACGATTTCACGCAACTCCCTTCATTCGACCCCATGTGTGTGGCAGTACTGGTACTTTGGTGCTTTTTCTGAGTCGAGGACACTTCCCACGTCTTCTGGGTACTGCATCTGTGCACAGAGATGAAGACTGGTTCAGACACGACCCCTCCCTTCAGGAGCTCACATCTGGGGAGACGAGCCAGCTGTAAGGCACACAGTGCTCAAAAGAACTGTATCAGCTTTGTCAGTCAGGGTTGGCAGGAACCGGCAGATAGCCCACTGAATTCAGGAGTCTGAAGCATGTTTAATAAAGGGGCTGTTTACAAATGTGCGGGCAGGGTGCAGAGAAACCACAGGGGAGTGTGCAGAACCTGGGGCTAGTTAACAGTGGGGTCCTTACTGTCGTCTGGCTTGAAAGGTGAGGAGAGGAGACTTGTGCTTGGAGGGACACAGCCAGCCAGGGGACCCCTGGCTCCTCCTGCCCTCTAGTCTTCTGGGGAGGCGGGGGGCTCCTCACTGGCTGAACCCAGAGGGATGGGCACAGAGCAGGGTGGAGAAGGGCGACAGTGGATCTGGAGCCACAAATGGAGAGACTAGCACAGAAATAAGCAAAGTACTTTCCTCTCAAAGCCTTTTGGGAGCAAGACAGGGTTAAAATTACTGACTCAACTTGTGCTAGAGGAGCCCAGAGAGACTCATGGCACCAGGATGCTCAACAGTCGGAGGAGGAGGAATGGCATCCAGGTACAGGGAACTGCATGTGCTAACACAGAGGCATGAAGGAGCACATCATGACTGGGAGACAGGAAGGGTGCGGCAGGCAGGGGCTGGGAGGGATGCTGGGGGGGTGAAGCTGGAAAGGCAAGCTGGGAAGTTATTATTTAGGGCACCTGGATGACACCAGCTGCTTCTCTCAGAACAATGATGGAAGCAGCCCCTGTGTCCTT